ACTGCGATTGACGAAACAACCACTCGATGTCCAAGTAATAATTAATAAAAGTTAGTCCTTATGTCATGAAAACATGAACGCATTCATTCAAGAAAAACAACGTCTTTATTGAAATGAATTGCACTTTTTGTACAGCACCCCGAATAATTGCGATCCGCATCGGATATTATCGAGTGATGCTCTCATCGTTCACCGAACAACTTGCAGCTCTGAGGCATATGAAGTGACCGGTCATGGGGATTGTACAGTTGGAAGGATGTGTTTTCAAGATCAGTTCGGTCGTGATGCCTTATTCAGTTCACTGATGAATGGAACAACAGTGGTGATAACAAATCAATCGGATGACGTGCTCGTGGAATGCTTATTCAAATACAGGGTCAAATTTTTGTTTGGTCGCATCAGCGTTATTGGAACAGCACAATTCATTGCTTTTACAATACTTTTCCTATTAGTTTCGAAATTTCTCGTCTAATAACCAGGTTATTTTTTCAGGTGCGCTTTTTATTTCTAAGCCCTATGGTACTCAAACAACTCTGTGGGGCTGTTTCCAATTCCAATCGCCAATTAACACATCTGAAAACGATCGCTATTGGAACGGCAGCCCCTGATGATGTGCTGATGAAACTCGCCTATAAATGTTTACCATCCGTGAAAAGCTACTGTTCAGGTAACCGATGACGTTTGAGTTTTTCCATTTTTTTGTTTTTGTGTTGAAATGAATAACTCTTGCCAACTTGGACATTACCATCAACAGATCTTCTGATATAAAATAAGTCATTTGAGAGCAAACTTTGAATGCAGTAGCTCAATGACGAAGAAGGTACAAATATAAGCGCGACAGTCTCAAACATATAAAACTGAAACGGGAGATTAAGTGGAACTGATTTTGGGTAGTATCGATACACTGCCTAGTTTTTTAATGGCTCTCTTATATGCACTAGGTTCATAAATTCAGTCCCATCGTTTCGATCGACCTGCACTTCGAATTTTTTTTCAAATTCTCATTCTNTTATTGTCATAACTTTAACTAATCGTTTCGCTGAATTGTTTTTAATCATTGAAGAACAATTTCCTCAAGGTATTTTATAAAACGAAAAGTCATTGATCGCATGAAAAATTCATGATTTGCGGCTACTTTTTTTTAGTTCAGCTCTTAAATTCAAGTGTAAGTTTGCAAGGTGCTGACCATGATTGCATAAATGTCGAGTTCTGCTAGAATTCACTTCAGTGATCCATTCACTATCTAGAGACTTTCAAATCGTTTCACCTATCAACTTTTCTTCTAGTGTACGGCATGACAGAAGTTGGCACAATATGTAGGTCAACCAAATCATCCTCATACAATATCCATTCATGTGGATCACTGTGTGCAAATCTAAGTATGAAGGTTAAAAATTTGTCATTAATTGATCCCTGAAATGTGACATTCAAAAATGAATAACTTCACGGGACCGCGACTGAATCATTGAAACTTGATAGCATTACTGCAAAATTGACAAGAATCAATACCATGTCATGACTTCTTTCGCATACGGCCAACAACGATGGGTTCTAAGTTTTCTCAAACTCTAAGTTTTTGGGTTCTGCAACTCAAATGTTTTCACTTCCAAGTCGCTTTTGAACGATGGCGTGATAAACACAGCAGTATTTCAGATAATTGACTTGTTGTGTTCTGAAGAAGTTGGCCCATTTGAACGTGGACTGATGCTCATAAAAGGCCCGTCTGTGAATTCACCTTACTGGAACAACGAACAAGCCACAAATGAGGACTTCAAGTACGGAGGATGGAGGAATACAGGTTCTCTTTTCTATCACAAAAGTGATTATTGTCGGTATTCCACTTAAAAAACTCGCCAATTCCAGTTGAGTTCTAAAGTTCTGCCTATCTAAGTGGCACACATTTCCCATATTTCTTGGTCAAAAGCTGTTAGATCGTATTAAAAAGTTATTTTGCGCTGTAACAATCATGCTACCATTTTAAAGGTGATCTGGGTTATTACGATCGAAATGGAAACGTATTTTTGGTCGATCGTGTCAAACAAATGATCAAAGTTGATGGTTATCAGGTGAGTGTGAAATATCTGTTAACAATGAACTGTCAACGACGGTGTCGCAGGTGTGATGCTCATTTGAAATCGAAATTCGCACGGTTCCTCCTAATTGAAGAAA